TTATTCGCATTTCTATTACACATTTCTCGCTTTCTTTCTTTACCCCTCACTCGTTGTTCATATCTTCCCGTCTATCTCGGATTTATCTAGACTGATATTCTTTGGTTTTATGCCTCCGAGGGATATGTCTAAGTAATAAAATCAAAGAATACGGCCTATATTAACAGAAATCTCTTTTCTAGGATATATAATATAATATATAAATATTTACTGAGGTTATTCTAGTTTTGCACAGGGACTATATAGTAGGACATTTGAGGAATAAGAAACCAACAAAATGATAACAATATTTACATAAGAAATAACAGAAGTGTTCGAAAATTATAATTTTAAAATCTTTCTCTTTGTGCTTCAATATAATCTAACTGCGAGACTACATTTATAATGTTTAAAGTTTGTACAAATAGGATTGGACAATGTGATCTCAATCAAACCTTCGATTTCGTTCCCAATTGTAAAAAAAAAAACAAACTTCTCATCCTATATGTGCTAATAACACAGAAAAGCATCTTTATGCATTCATATAACTTCTACTGCCACCATCCATATAGCATAAATAAAGGGATTTGCCGATACCAACAACACCATGGAAAAATCGTGATAACCTAGACATATAAACAGATGATAAATCACCAACAAATGCATTTCATTATGATAGAAAATGTGCTGCAAACATCAGGCTTTGTAGACAGGAACACGAGGGTACAAATAAGAGGTCAAGAGAATTGGCACGGTTTGTCTTTCTTATATCAAGGGCTTGTAGGAAAAGATTTAGATTTGATGTCCAAACAACATCAGGGAATTACGTAGAAAACTAGACTCTACGGAGGAATCTCTGCTGAATGGAGTCTAACACAGTAGATAAGAATGATCAAGAACTTAGGGCATTAAATCCCTTGTAGTTATTGTAAAGGATACAATGGTAAAACCAATCATCATCTGAAAGCAATGCTAGAGGAATATGAATATCTATGCATACATTAGTTCGGATGTAAATAGTGCAAATAATACTTACATTTACTCGACCCAAACAAGCGAAGGTAAATAGTAAAAAAAAAAATGTTATTAGTAGTTAGAAATATAAATCTCAGAATCACTACTTAACAAATATATGGTAATATTAGCCATTTCCTTATAAAGAAACATTCAGCATTCGTAGCCAGTACTACTTTCGGTTTAAATTTATAATAGCATTCTCTTAGAACAATTATTCAGGAAAATAGATTTTCAAATCCAGTAAATGTTATCGCTCGTTCCAGCATTATATATATATATATATATATATATATATTCCTATTATTTTATTTGAAGTGAAATAATAGCCTAATGACATGATCAAGATGTTGACATTCGTGTGGAATGTCAACATATTGATTGTGTCATTATTTCAAGTGTTTTTTTATTTATTTAGTAGTTCTTCGTTTGTAATTCTATAGCGCCAGTTGACAGTTTGTTGAAGGATAGCCTTCGGCAAGATCCTCAGGCTTCACTCGCACAAAGCCATTTTTAACCATTGATTTTAGGAAGCGGTTCTATACAGCTGACAGTTTAGATATTTCTGAACGGGTTTGGAGTTATGCAAAGCTTCATTTGAAAGCCTCGATCTAACGAGGCTATTTAAGAAGAGGACAAGTTTTCAGGTTAATTTTTGATGTTATAGCTCAGGAGTCACGTAAAGCAATTTCCAGTGGCACGTAGCCGGAAATGACATCACGAAATCTGAACCAATAACTACTACAACGCAAAGAAGATATTTAGGTGTTTCCATTTTAATATATACTAAAGTATATATACTATATATTACTATATAAAATGTATTGTAGAACAGGTCTATTGATCTTGACTTGTATAAAAATACGTATGCACACTGAATGATTTTAAAACCTCAGTCAGCAAAAGGTTGTTATTACTGTTCTATACACTGAGATATTTGAAGTGTTTCGTGTTTACTAATTGCGTATACTAATTTTCTGGATTTGTAGCTTGGAAGGCGACGGTTTCTAATGGAGAAGAGCAAGTCTATTGATACGTCAATAGACTTGCTCTTCTCCATTAGAAACCGCCAATATGCTGCTGTGAGATTAGATTCGTATTAGAGAGGTATTCGATTTCTTGGAGTTGTTTGATGATATATATATATCCCATCATTACATCGATTATCAGATCGAAAACAAAATTTGAAAGTTGACTTTCATAAAACACTGAAAGTCTACTTAATATAAAATAGTCATTAATACTTTCATCATAATTGATCCAATGGAGATACATTTGGATATGGAATGTTTCCAGAGTGCATCAAAGCGTCATGAACTCGAATTTTTGCGAATACGTATCTGATGTCATATATAATTATAGATATAGACCTATTTATACAACATATAAAAATATTACTTATATCTCATATGCTTTCATGTAGGTATATATATTACAATGGTTTTACACCTATACCCACTCACGCACACGCGTACTTCACACACACACACACACACACACACACACACACACATATATATATATATATATATATATATATATATATATATATATATATATATATATATATATATATACGAAAATAGTACGTGCGAGTGATGCGAAAGTAAAATCAAAACCAAATCTTACGGACTACTGAATAATTTGTTTGTTGTATTATCGTATTTAGGTGCGTTTACCCCAAGTTGAGATCCGGAAGGAGGAAGTAATATAAAAAATAATAGCAATTTACATAAGAACAGATTGGAATAGATGAAAATATACGAAAAAAAAAACTGAGATAGACAAAGAGGGAGAAAGAAAGAATGGGGAATAGACGAAATAATATACAGAAATGAAATAATGAATTAAAAAGTAGATATACAATGACGGCTCCGAAAAAATAATATCTCCTCTTTTATTATACTGTCATACATCAGGGGAAGACGTTGGTAATATATATGTTGTAACAAACTTTATTTTTTGATTTGTTAATAAAGTAAAATGGCGTCTGACATGAAAGCGTATACAAAGCAGAGGTGCGTCATTGTATTTCCTCCACCCCAAAGAAAGTTCACCGATTAAGTCATCAATGATAGCTGAACGATACGGAGGCCAGACACTGGATGTCAGTGCATTTAGTTAGGTAATTGTTTCAGGAGTGTTCAAAACAATTTTGAGGTTGCCTCCGTTGCTACAATGTTTTTTTTAGGCGAATCCTATCGATATCCTGTTCATTGCGTTTGTGATGGTGGCTAAATTTGTATCCAGATGTTTAGTAAGTTGAAAAATAGTATTTCATAGTTGACAACTTGCTCTATCTGACCGTGTTATTGTGCTCCTTGTATATGTTTTTACCCGCTGAAGAGATGAATAGAAAGTATAACTTTCGAATCCTCCCATTATATATATATATATATATATATATATATATATATATATATATATATATATATATGAATGATGAAGATAGATAGAGAGAGAGAATATTAGAGAAGAAAGAAAAATGATAAGAGGAAATGCAACAAACGGCTAAAGGGAATTAATCTTCAAATTTAAATAAAAAATTAAAAACTAAAGGAAAAAGTTAAAATGAGAGCAAAGGTTTGGGAAAGAATATTAACGGGATTAAAAAAAGAAAAGAAATTGAATTTGAAAAAAAATGTGATGTAAATTTGAAATGATACTGCAGAATAAATTTTGCCAAAACAGAAATCAATGAGAAATGAAGAGAAAGAAAGCGTGTCTTTGCATAAATATAAAGTCACAAATAGATAATTAAAAGGGAAGGATTACAATATAGATAATACAAAAAGTTCGAAAGAGTGAGCGCAAAGAACGAGGAGATAAATGAGAGGGGGAAAGTGCTGACAATTGTGAGTAAAACAGGGAGAGATTATCCTGAGAGCGAGTGAGAAACGGAAGAATAAAAGACATAAACTCAAGTGAGAGAATGAATTCTAGAAAGACGATATAACAAGGAGATCAGGGGAGAAAGGACACTGTGAAAGAGAGAAAAAGAGGAAAGACACACACATGAGAGGGGGAAGAGAAAAAAAAACGAAAAGTAGGAAACACGCAAACATGAGAAGAGAGAAAAAGAAAAGGAGGAAAGACACATACATGATGGGGTGAAGAGAGAAAAAGAAAAGGAGGAGAGACACACATATGAGGGGGAGAAGAGGGAAAAAGAAAATTAGGAAAGACACACACGTGAGAGGGAGAAGGGAGAAAAAGAAAAAGAAGAAAGACACCTGTGATGGGGAGAAGAGAGAAAAATGAAAAAAAAAAAGGAAAGACACACACATGAGGAGGAGAAGAGAGAGAGAGAGAAGGGAGGGGGCAGAAGAGAGAGTGACAGAAAAGACACAGAGAGGGAAGAAAGAGATAGAGAGGTAAGAAAATGGGAGAGAAAGAGAGAAATGGCGTCTACCCCCGATCAATACGCTATGCACGGCACACGACACCAGACATATTTACATACCGTATAACCCCGCGATCGCACTTGGGGTCTGCTTCCGCCTGTTAGAACGTGCCGTCCACGTGACCTACGGGAAAGAGGAAGTTAGCCATGCGCCTGCAATGTCATACGGTACACACACAAGTTTTGATGTCACATCGTACGAATGTATTTAGAACATTAAGTTGACTTTTTGTGTTTGAAATTTTTTTCAAGCGAGTTTTTGTTAAATCTCATTGTTTTATTTTTAATTGTTTATTCTTGTTTGTGATCCTCTCAGGTTTTCTATCATTTACTAAGAAACAGCAAAAAAAAAAAAAAAAAAAAATCCCCAAAAAACAAACAAACAAAAAAAAAATTAAAAGCAAAGATTCCTTTTTGGTAACCGACACTCTTACATCTACTGTAATACTTATTTTTTTAAATTTATTTTTGTTTAAAATTTTATTAGCACATTTTCTTGGCTTTTTTAAAAACATTTTTTTATCAAATTTGTATTTGATTTTATTTTTTCCCAATTTAAATTTTGCTTTTATTTTGTATCATACAACCATCTTTTTCGTTTTCTATGAAATCACCCCCTTTTGTCTTTTTTCTATCATTCTCATTTTCTTTTGTTTCTGTCTATCTATCTATCTATCTATCTATCTCTTCTTTGTGTTTCATATTTTCATTCTTACTTCATTTGTTCTACATTTTTCTTGGGGTTCCAACTGTATTTTTCTTTCACATCATTTATTTCATCTTCCCCACTTCCATCATCTTCCTCATTAATTTTCTCATTATCGACTTTCTTCTCGGCATGTCATCTATCTTCCTTCCGTTCTTCATTCATTCATTTCGTCCTTTCTTCTTTCATTTATTTATTCAGATTCACCTATCGTATTTCCCTATAATTTTCTTCTACTTCCTTCCTTCTAATTCAGTTTTCTTCAACCCTGTCCAACGTCTTCTTTCATTCTTTCTTTTCTTTATTTCAATTTCTTCTCTCGTCTTTCCCTTTTTCTCCACTACATTCCTTACTTCCGTCATCGTCATCAATTGCCTCCCGTCCACAGATTTTACTCTTCCCAATTCTTGCGAATATCCTCTCTTTCATTTTAAAACATTTCCTTTCTTCTGTCACTTTCCTTATTTTATTTGACTCCATTCTTTTCCAGTCGCCTCTCATTCTTTTATCCCATGCACATTTTCTTCCTTTCGTCTCCTGACTCGAATTAGGTGTTTATGTGATCCGTAAACCCCACTACAGGCTGAAGGCAAATAACAGTGTTTTGTATGCTGAGATCTCTTATGCCATGCTATACTGCCCGCTACAATGAGCTGAGCTAATACGTTATACCAATGAGCACTCTCTTAGTTCACCTCGCCTGCAACAAACGACCAACAAAAGGTTATAAGAGTCCACATTTAGACATGGTGTGTTCATATTTATTTATATTTTATTCCATAATTATATTAGTGGAAACTCTTGGCAAAAGTTCGTAAAAGGAAGTGTGAAAAAATCAGAATGCAAGCAGAGAATATCTGCTTCAGTGAATCATTGGAAACTTATGAAAAGCCTGTATCTGTTTGCGAATTTTCAAGGTCACTGCTTCCGGTTTGCCGTTTAGGCAGTCGAGAAAAAATAAAGGCATATGCAACTTAATTATTTGTAGTTTGAAATAAAATAATTAGGCGACAAAAATACACACACACACATATATATATATGTTAAGAAATGGACGAGGTCCGACAATTTATTTATTAAAGACATTTTTATTTATGTTTAACGTTGTTATTTTTTATAGATACAAGTATTTATTTAATACTGTTTATCATAAACAGAGCATTTGCTTAAATACTTGTATCTATAAAAAAAAAAAATAACAACGTTAAACATAAATAAAAATGTCTTTAATAAATATATATATATATTTAAATATGTTTTGTTGAATAATATGGACATATTGTGTCTACTTATTTTTATATTGATCCTTTCAACTTGTATAATTAGTTTCTTGATATTGAGATAAAATCCATCAAGCAACGCGACGTAGTTTTTTTTTAACCCAAGTACTAAGACCATTTTCAGAGGTAAATTACAAAGACAAACATGTTATATGAAGCCAGTCTTTGCACATATATACTTTACATCTAAACCATTTTCGAATAATTGTAATGAAATTCTATTGTGTTTATTTGGTGCTGCCAAAATTTTCACAGATAAAATAATCTATTTTTTCATGGTATTTATTTCGGCATTTCGGCTCTGATTAAATCTCACTTTTGTTATTTGATTATACACAGGAACTGCAATAAGAAAGAACGAATGATTTAAAAAGAAGTGAAGGAAAATGAAATGAGAAAAAGGACAAAGGAAAAAGAATGTAGAGGAACTGATTGAAGAAGTGACAGATGCATGGAAGAAAGAGAGATGAAACGAAGAAGTGGAAGAAGAAAACGAAGACATGGTAGGGAGAAGAACTGAAATGAAGAAAAAGAGAGTGTGTGGAAGAAATAGTGAGAGGTTGACGAACTAAGAAAAGAGTATTAAAGAAAGTTAAAAGATGTAGAATATGAAATGTGAAACAGATGAACATAATAAGGGGAGAGAGAGAGAGAAAAGAGACCGAATGAAAGAGAGAGTGAGAGAAAGAGAGAGAGAGATGAAATAGAATCAGTTAATGGCAAACATAGTCGCAAGATATTGGAGATTTGAGCATACTTCAGTGATAACACTGAAAAAATGTCAGAATAATAATAATAATAATAATAATAATAATAATAATAATAATAATAATAATAATAATGTATAGCTGGCCACTCGTATTCATGGATACACGTCTACTAGGGTGGCTAGCCAATCCCTATTGCAGACGCTTTCTCAGGCACATTTTGTGTTTATTCAACACCCGCATAGCCCACCTGTGGTTTATCCTATGATTTATGCCTATACTGAGCAGACCTTAGTTACAGTATCTGGGAAAAGAGCGTGTTATCTAGTGTGATCAACATTGTAAACAAGGCCAGAATGCTCAAGCCCTCGGCCACGATGACGTGTGACTTCGTGCTAGCACAGGTATCAAAGGTACCGCAGCTCAGAAAACTCAATCTGATCGTTCTGATAAGAAAAGAACTCGAAAAGAACTTCTGAATTTGTTGGTGAAGGCCTCAGACGTAACACGGATGCCGACATCAGGTGACTTGAGAAGGTGTGCTGTCCTGGGGGAAGAGGTTGGTTGCAGGAAGATCCTATGTCTGGCAACAAGCAGGAGGACGTAGGCATTACTGTCAGACAATTTCTGCGACCACATCACCCCTTACATCTGGTCACCTAACTCCCCAAACTGAACCCCACTTAATTTTTATGTGTAGATCGCAATTGAGCGAGAGACCAACAAAACACCTTGTAACACTAAAGATGAACTGAAGGCAAGGATTATGGCAACATTCACCAACTTAAGAAGAAGACCGTCCAGAAAATATGCAGGAGATTCCGAAATAGTCTGGAGGCTGTGGCGATTTTATTGAATAAATTTACTCTTTAGTATTTCAAGATATATTTGTGTAATATATCTGTTAAAATGAGATGTCAGTGTCATTTTCATTTTTGTGTACCGGTTTGGAGATTCTTGGTGTATGGATTCGACGAAGTTCTAGAAGTACAGCTCTCAAATTTGGGGCATGTACTCTTCGAATCTTCATTTCCACCACATCCGAAATGTGCTTCACGAGATTAAAATCTGCTAACGGTGAAGACCAATTTAATACAGAAAAATCATTGCTGTATTCAATCAACCGATCTGCTACTATTTCTCTTTTCTGAAACGCTGCATTGTCATACTTGAATTTGTTATGAATTGGTGTATGTTGTCAGTCACAATACCTAAGTAGACAGCGGCTTTTACATGATATTTTAGGTTTCAACCATACCAACGTATACCAAAAATAGTCGTCATATCACTACCACCAACCTGAGACATCAATACAATGGAGGCTGTATCCATACGCGGTTTAAAATAAATTTTGGGTTTACCATCCGAATATTGGAACAGAGTTCGAGAGACATCATAATGTTTTTTTCGCATTTTTGATCTTTAGTGAATTTTGGCCTTGTTTCGTTTTCTTTTCTGATATGAGTAGCACTTGGTATAGTTCTCTTCTGTAGTCTGTCTGATCCGATATGTTGCGTATTCAAAAATACTCTTCTCCATACTTTCTTTGTAAAGAAGTGATCTTTAAAGTTGTTGTTATCTCTCTATCAGCATTAACCAGTCTGGCAATTCTCCTGCGACCATTCTTCACGACAAGGGATTTTCGTCCACATTATTGCCGCTCATCCGATTGTTTTTGTTTCTGACTATTCTCTATGAACCATAGAAATAGGTGTGTCTGAAAATTCATAGTAGAACAACACTTTTGGAAATATTCAAACCCTGCCATTTGACACCAACGTTCAAAGTCACTTTAAATACCTCTCATGAAATGAAAATCATTTGATCGTCATGACCATATTTAAATGCCACTAAATTGCTGCCTTGCCATTGGTTGATTAGAAATGTATGACAGAGCACTTGTACAGCTGTACTTAATCAAATTGATAGTAATTTATTAAAATGCTCTGTATATATATATATATATATATATATATATATATATATATACGAAATATATGAAATATATATATATATATATATATATGTGTGTGTGTGTGTGTGTGTGTGTGTGTGTGTGTGATGGGAACGGCAACAGATGGAATTTATGCTCTGTAGAAAAAACACTTAAATAATCCTAGCTTATTAAAGAAGTGAAATGGATTGATAGTTACATGTAGGCATAAAAATAAATATATGTTGAAATACGTTGATCCAGATTAATATTCACAACTTTAAAGAAAAAATACATAAAGGACGTAAAAGTTTAGAACAAATACCTCATTCCTTCTCCTTTCTCTGACCAATCGTAATTGTTTTATTACCCCATAAGCAAAGGAACATTGTTCCACCAGTCTAAGTTGAATTTGATTATTACAACACCCCACAAAAAACAATGGTTTAATATAAGAAAACCTAAGAAAATATTAATTCTTTAAATAATATGTTGAACTAACCAATTTTCGCCTGATTAAAGTCACAAGACCCGAAACGTGTGTAGCGAAAAATATGGAAAATAAAGTATAATATATATTAAAAAAACGTTTGCAGCTTCTCTGCTTCTCTTTTCTCTTTCAAATATACACCTTTCTCTCGTTGCAACAGTAAGTTATTAGCTACAGTTGAATTAAACCAGGAAACAGTAGTGATAAAAAGTGCTCACTACACGTAAAAAGAAAAGGAAATAAAACTTAATATGTAGATCTTTTCAATTAGAAAAAAAAAAGATGATCTGATCACGCACCTTTCGGTATCTTCAGGCGATCTGGGCTAAATAATTCCCTAGCGCTTTATTATTCAAAACTATTATTATTTTTAAATAATAAGGCGTTGGGAAATTATTTAGCCTAGATCACCTAAAGATATAGAAAGGTTGATACTAAGGTAGCGTGATCGGCTGAATATAGTTCTCGAAACTTTGTCACTAAGACAATAAAATATCGATGCTAGTCAGAAAAGATCATGGACTAATGAGAAAACATTTTAAAAAAGAATCTTCTTCTTCTTCTTGCATAAATTCTATGATTCCGATATAAAAAAAGAATTCTTTAAAATAAGAGCAGTCACGTACAAAATAGGAAAGATGTAACTCTGTAACTACCAAATGAGCCGGATACCGTTGCTTGCAAGGTCTTTCCCGTCATGTTATTTGTCCTAAAATTGTTTATAAAGAACTAAACACTATTTTTCCATGACGCTTTTTGTAATATCTGTTTATTGATTTAAAAATATAGTGTTTTCCTAGCTTCATGTCTGAGTGGTTGTTTATTTATAGTCATGAATAACAAAGTATCTTTATCTGCTTGGCTATACACGCCACGACAACTTCGTGGAAGGCTCCGGTATTATCAGCAATCATTAAAGACAGAATGTGTGACGCAATCGAACTCTCCAGGGGAGACTATTGCTGAAAATATTCCGGTTGAGATAGTGAATAACAAAGATGGTTTATTTGTATGTAGATTTTTATGTATGGATATATAATTATTTTCTGGTCATACGGTATATA